GGCTCTCTGATCCTGCAAATACCTAGGTATATGCAAGTGTTCTCAGCCTGAAGTTAGTCACAAATTTAAGTGCTTGCCCCATGGGTTTTGGCTCAAGGAAGTAATGTTAATTCACAGCCAACTGGGCGGGGGGGCATGAGGGGAATGTAAACTATGCCTGCCACTTTGAACTACAAAAAAAAAATAAGTCTACAATGCACCCAGCCTTAAGGTAAAAGGCTAATTTCCTTGCAAATACCGGCTAGATTAGGGTACTGTATTAATAGGTAAGCCCCTGGGAATTCAACTGAAGGTCATTATCATGGTAACAATACTAGGGCAAAAATGTATTCTGCCTCAGCCATACTGTACTGCTTACAGTGTGCAAGGGGGTCTCAGAAGTAAAAGAGGATTCTTCATGAAATAGTGAACTGGAAGTTAAGAAAGTGCTTAAGCATTTGTTTTACCAATTTAATAAATTCCTTGGGACAGTGAATTAATAGCCCACAGGAAACAGCTGGACATACTGTTCTTGATTAGGTAACTGGATTTTATCTAGATGGAAAAAAATGTGGCTATTTTACCTCAGATCTCTATAAATATTCTCAGCTTGCTGCCAGGCATTAATAAAGGAAACTCATAAAATAGCTAGCAGAACCTGGACTTTAATGGGTAGATGCCATTAAGATAAAGGGACATTATTGAGTGATTTAGCACAGAACAAGTGGCAAGTAATGAAGAGTCTTAATTTTAGTTCCTGAACTACAGCATTCAAATTATGGACCTTGATTAATGTGTAATGGAGAAAGTGGACTATACAGCTCAAAGAACTGAATACCAATACTCCCAAAACAGAGTAAAGGTATCCAAATCTTGACCTTTGGCATGGAACCAAAATGTTGGGCATATCTAACTTGAATCAAATGGAGCCAACTGCTGTAGCACCTTTTTTGATATGGGAACCAACCTACAAAGACTCCAAGTCCCATCAGTGAAGACACTTTTGAACTGTGGAACTGTAGCTTGTGCGCACTACACCCACATAACAAGCTATGCAGTCTACAATGCTTTTTAACAACGTAGGCTAAACTTCTCTTCAGTGCTACATTAGACATAGTGGTGGCCACTCTTGGAAAACCTGTTTTCCCTCACAAGATGTGACACAGGGTAAATGAGCTGAAGTCAGATTTACACTGTGGATGAAATTAGCCCCCATTGATAACTTTCTCTCCATTAGTGAAAAGCACAGTTCTTCCAAGTGGTCATGATAGAAATAGCTGAAACAATACATTCCATGCTATAAACCATCCAGTATTGAATTACTCTAATCTGGATTACAACACATCTCTGTACAACACATACTTTCTACAGCTCCCCAGAGAATCTGTAGAGAACATGGTAACTAATGCTGTTCGCAGATTTAGAGCCAAGAAAAGGGTTAAACCCAGAGATTCAGTTATAATAGAGCAAGAGATCTGTCTGCTTCATGGAAAGCAAGAAACCCTTTCAGAACCTACATCTTTCATTGCTCAATTTGCTAAATTCAGAAGTGGGAAAGAATGACAGTAAACTCTGCATTTTCTAATTAAAATTATATGCCCCCCTGCCAAGCACCACTGATTTATTGGTGCACCCTGCAATGTGCAGATTCTGGGGGCAAAAAAGGTCATGAAAGCATTACATAGATGTCTTACATTCTTTAATTAGAGCTAGGATGCCAGGTTATGTAGAGGAAGTAAATTCAGGGGCAGAGTACAATCGTCATTACCAGGAAACCAGAACACTCAACAGGAAAACTGCACAAAAAGTTTTGACCATCAGACTGCCTTAAATATTGTAATATGAGGAATGGAAAGTATCCGACTGTCAAATTACACAGCAAGGACTTTTACAAGGAGAACTTTTTCCCCTTATTCTTTTTACAAATATTTTTTGACTTTAGTGTAAAAGTGAAGAACTAAAGGCACTTCCCTCATCCAGCACTGGCAAAATATCTCGGCCTTGTACGGCAACAGCTCTAAGTCACAAGCATCTCTTCAGACACTTCTGGCTCTGTTGAACTCTGCCAAACTGCGACTAGGAGACGATCAGACTCACTTTTCCATTTGTGACAGCCACACAATCAAAATCCAAACATGTGCCAAAGTAACAAAAACTCCTTTTGGATGAAACTTCAAATCAGGCTTTCAACATATTTACGGTTACAAGCTTGCCTCTGGCTCAAGGCTTTTCTCAGCTGAAGAAACAGTAGTTTTAGAAATCAACTGATGGCAAACTTATCCCCCCAAATAAACAGGAGCCTAGCAGGCAACCAAGCAAATGAAGCATTCTTTCAGTGGCTTAACAGCAAACTAGAATCTGCTACAGAAGAATGACTGTGATCTGTTAAGATGCCAAAACACAGACCTATTGCAGGTATATGCAGCTACTTATCTGGCTGTTTCTGCACACAGCAAAGGCATTTATTAAGGAATAAAATCAAATTCATCTGACTGACTGCTGGCAGGAGCCACATACAGCAAGAACATATGATGGCTATGTCTCCAAGGGGGTGGGGTTTCCAAAAACTGGCAACTACTGCAACAGTTCAAAAAACCCGAGTTTGATCTGTTTCCAGCTAGCACTATGGGAAAAAAAGTCCTCCTAAGGCTATCTTGTGTCTGTTACTATCTGCTTCATACACCAAGACCTATCATCATTGCTCAGGAAAACAGTACTTGAGCTCAACAGGTTAACTAAAACAACTTAATATCTATAATAAAAAAAATAAGCCTATGTTCAGATAGTCACTAATGTGGCTTTTGAAAAATTACCAGAGAAGACTCCCTCCCACTTCCAAAAGTTCTGATATATTAAGAATTTGCCATATAGTTTTGTTTCGAGTTAACAGCTCCAGTGTTCCTACATTTGTTGAGTTGAGAATTAGCTGTTTGCACCGGTAGTGTATATTTGGTCCTGCTCCTATAATCTAGATCTCTGCAGGCAGGGAGTCTCACTGACTTTGGTCAACTTCTACAGAGATGCAGAACTGCCAGTGAATTTAAAACGCTAGGGTCAAAGCATTATTTGTACATTATCATTTCCATTTTGTTTAAGCAGGGCAGTTACTAGAAAAATTCACCTCATATACAGTCAAAGCAGCAGCAAGCTACTTGATGAATTTCTCACCCTAGTTCACCCACAAAAAAAAAAATCTTAAATTCAAAGGTTCCATCAGATTTAAAAAGTAAAATCCCTTTGTGAAAGACTGTGTACTGTACAGTACAATAGTTCTCAACCTTTTTAGGTGAAAGGCCTCCCCTCAGAAAATGCCAGCTCTTAAATTTCACTCATTTTTTCCACTGCAGAAAAATAATAGGGCAATTTTTTTGTTGCAAGGAACTCAAAAACACCCACAACCGGTCAGAAGGCTTTTGACACTCTGGATCCCTGTTTGTAAACCCTGCGTTTATCTTGTGAATCATGTGTAGGTGTTTACACACCTAACAATACTAATACTACGTGGCGCCCTTAAAAGGATCTTGCATCATCCCAGGGTGCTGTGTCATCCTCACTGAGAATCAGTCCTATTGCATGCTCATCTTCTACAAAAGTAACTGCAGGCCAAAACAACTTGGTGGGCAATGAGGTGAAATCTTTTGCAACACATTCAACATAAAACTAGCCAATTCATCCTAAACATCCCACACTAAACTACAATGATGAAATTAAACAATTTTACTAATAATCATACTTTCAGCTTTTTGGTTTTAATGGCAAATGCGCCACCTATCAGTTGTGATGGGTGTTGCACCAGTATTTCAGCTAACCATTATATCACCAAGTCCATTACATGACAATCCAAACAGCTGAATTCAAAACCACCACATTTTAGCTGATTGACAAATATCCAAATTTACCTCATAATGGAAAGTACCTGCATACAAAAGAAAGTAGGTGTCTTATTGCTTAAAGAGGAGGCCTGTCTTTAAGTACTTTGGCATCAATTATGAGAACTATGGAAAACAAGATAGCATAAGTTCATTGGCTGTACTATTACTTGTAAAACAGTGTCTCTAATTAGGGGTACATGAAACCAGGTCTCCCAAAATGTGTACTGCTTAACTATTTCTTTCTAGGCTGTATTTAGGCAGTTGGTTTTAATCTATAGATTTATAGATCTATCTCTATAAATATAGATTTCTAGATATAGATATTGCCTTGGGACCCCTAGCAATATCAAGTTTGAAACTTAATTTCTCATTTGGTACAAAATAGCCCAGATCCACTGTCCATCAGGGAACACTGATCTCGTCTCCTAGGTCTTGAAAGGAAAGGCAGCTACAATGCGAGGTATGGGTATGCAGGATATACAAGACTGAATGCTAGGTCTATAAAAATCATTATAGCAGTGTTAGTGCCCTTCCATTTCAGAGTGTTGACTCAGCAAGCTTAAACCGAATCATATGGCTGGAAAGCACCTTGGCAGTCATTTGCTCCAAGCCTCTGCACAAATGCAAGGATGCTACTCCTCAAGTAGTATACTGGTATTCCAGCCTCTGTGTTTATGCTTGTTGAAACAAAAGGTATTTAGGTCAGCAAACAGAGTATGTACAGGGAGAGAAAGAAAAAACAGTAAGAGGAATTGCCCCTTGTTCCAATGTTTGCTATTAAAAAAAAATGCAGTACGGTCTTAAAATTATAAAAGCTACAAAATAATATTAATCACCATAGAGCCTGATTCTTTGTAGATTCATACTGCTTGACACTGATGTAACTTCAGTGGAGTTGCTCTAGATTTACCCCTGTGTGTGCATGTATGAGAAGATAATCAAATCACTGCTGGTGATGATTCTGGATCAGTTCAATCTGTTCCTAGTTTTCACATAAACAAGTCTTTGATGGAAAAGGCTTCTTAAACAACATGCTCTAAAAGCAAGTGAAATTTAGACCCCAATACATTACCACTTAATCACTTGGCTATCTATTAAGCACTCTAAATATAGTATTTTAAAATATGTGGCCAGAGGCTCACAACTCACCAGAAACTGTGTGCAAATCGGATGCTATCCCCTTGCTTATCAGTTCGTATTGGAAGCCTGTAATTTTCCGACTAATGTCCTGCTGAGGGGTAGCCTCAATAAACAGGCCCCCCTGATCATAGCCAAAGCAATACACTTTATTGGGGCTGCGATCTCCATCTCGGACCAACAGTTTCAGTTCTCCAGTTTTTTCCAAATAAATATTTGCTCCTGTGGAGTCCTTGAAGGGCTTTATGCAAACAGTCAAGTGTTTGGAAGAGGAAGAAAACATATTGGGTCGCAGATTGACTATTAGTGCTCCCGTGGGATACATCCACTCTATTGATCCTTCAGAACAGCGGAGGTAGACCTGTTCAACGTCCTTCTTGTGAGACTCATGAGTTAAGCCACTAAGGAAAGAAAAAAAAAAGAGGGAAATTAAATGAATAATACAACAACTTAAGTAAGCAGCATAACCTCAAATCTCAGAAAAGGGACAAGTAAGCAAAGAACCATCCTCGCCCCCCATTTATAGCATCACTGAATCCATTGCCAAGGGCCTGATCCATTGCCTTCAGCAGGGACTTCGAACACTCATCACCTTGTACAAGACTGAGACCGTGAATTGTGCTACTATTTTGGGGTGGGCTTTAAATAGCCTCAGACAAAACAATCTAAACCTTTATTTAAAAAAAAAAACCAAACCCCTCCGAGAGAGTGGTTAAGTAACTAGTTCAGGGTTACAAAGGAAGTCTGTGGTAGGGCCATAGTAGGACACATTAGCATGGGATAAATAAGGAACATTAAATCCACGTAAAATCTTCCACTATCTTTGCCAACTATAAAAATTAACACACCTCACAACAGCAAGAACTGCTGCAGAGTTTGACAACATGAGAAGAAGGGGAGACAGCAGTGACACACAAGAGAGAACTTGGAGTCAGTCTCTGAGGAAAGGTCATTCTAAAGGATATCCACCGTGTTACTGATCTTTAGTTACTTTCCTGGATATGAGCTGTGACTTTGCAAACTTTTACTCATGCAAGTAAACCCAAAGCATTTCCCTAAGGATATTTATAATTGTGCACTAGATTCTAATGTTTTCAGCTTTCAGGATGGGTTTGAAGGATGTGTTGCCTAATGCATACAGCAGTGAACATTTAGGTTCTATTACTTGCCTCTGTGTCTTTGCTTCCCCTCACAGGCTTGGAGTATCTACCCTCAAACTCAGGGTTTATCTTTCACTCAGCATTCACACAATGCCATATACAATGGGACCCTTCAGCTCTTCTCCAATTCAGGTAAAGAAAGTTTTCCAATGTGTTAATTAAGTTTCACAGCATCCCCATTTTACAGATGTGTGAACTGAGGCAAGACAGGAGCTAAGTAACTAGTCCAGGGTCACAAAGGAAGTCTGTGGTAGGGCCAAAATAGAACACATTACCATGGCATAAATAATGAACATTAAACCCTGATTTCTGAAAACAGACCTCATGACATCTCCCTCTTTTTTACTTCCCCATGCCACCAATATATTCAGGTGCAAAACAAGTGATGCAGGATTTATAACTCAGTCAGCATTTAGAAAAGTTATGAGAAGCCATGTGTAAAAAAGGAAAAAAACAAACCAACATATGGTTTGCATTTACTGTTGATGTGACTCATTATTATGTGTGTCAGTAGAACCCACTTGATAGAGGTTACATGAGGAAGCTCAAAGAAAACTCAAGCTTTAATAACAACACTGCTTACAAACATGTGCTTTTGAATAATCTTGAAAGCCGCATCAAGAACTTGGATGATAGGAGAAAGGGGCTGGTTCCTGACCTTTAGTCTCTTGCCCTCAAACACATAGCGGTACTTAATATAGTCAAGAAACAACTTTTCATGTGCTATTTCATACAGCAAATATACAATGTGCATGTATATTTACAACTGGTCCAGAAAAATCATTGGGGTGGTTATCTTTCAGTACTGCACGTATGCAAAGTCACTCTGCCGAGAGCAAGACTGAAGAAGTCAGCTTTTACTAAATTTCTTTCTTTGCAGACAATGAATAAATATCCTAAAGTATTGCTAAGAAGAAGGAAATTCATGTTGTGAAAACCTATGCATCACTTGTATCCTTCACAACCTTCAAAGTAAGCCTTACATAACACAAAGGGTACACACTCATCTTCAGCATAGGGGTGGGTGCATTTCACAGAAAGGTGAATGTTTAAACACACGAGGGGGGAAAAAAGAGAACTGAGAACTGAAATACAATAAAGCAGATGCTGCAAGTGCTCCCAATTAATATCGAGGTCACAAAGTGTCTAAACATTCAATTGAAACACAGTGAATTTAGAGATTCTCTTTTGAAGCCAAATTATACAGCACAACAATAAAGTGACAATGTCAGATACACTGACTACAAATACCTGTGCACATCAAGTCCCGTTATAAATCGTGATTCAGAAAGTTGAGCCAATTTCAATATTAATGACCTAGTTAAATCTGTCGCTTACCTTCTTTGGTCAAAATGAAATGAGACATTTATAATACTGCCATCTATTGCTATAGTGGAAAACTATTTAAATTTCATGTTTACTTCTGAGTAACATGGTAATAAATTGAATACCTAGTAATAAGTTGCACCACATGCACACTAGTCATAAAGATATTTTAAGCTAACTTGAGGCTTTTATGTTTTAAATGTCAAGAAGATATGCCAATTCTTTTATGACTACATTGATGAATGAGACTTCCCCACCCCCCTTGCACTGTTTGTTCTAGGAGTTGGTCCAACCAAACAGTACTTCCTCCAACAGATCTCAGGAGACACCCACTGATCCACTGCACTTGTCTATTTGATATTCTGCCTTTCTGGTGCCTCAAGTGGCCCATTACTGTATATCTTGGAAGATCTGCTATTGCCATTTGTGAACTCAATTCTTCTACATGAATGCATAACAGGTGATCCTTTACACAGTATGTCCACTGCAGCAGTGGACAAGTTTGAGCTGCCACAATTGCATTTCTTCTTCTACACCTCTCAAAGCTCTTTTAAAAACAAAATGGAAGCAACATTTTCCCCAATTTACAGATGGGTGAACAGCAGAACAGTGTCATGACTCCCCCAAGACCACACAGCTAGTCATAGGCAGAACCAGAAATGGAACTCAGGACTAGAAACAGGACTCAGGTTAGTCTGACAAGGTTTCAGTGTGGTCAGAACAGCACTTTCACTCAATAAACGTGACATCATTGTATCAGGCAGAATTATAATTACAGTTACAGAAATGACTGGACATGTATCATAATGTAGTTTCTGGTTTTCACAGAGCAATATTTTGTGGGAGAGGCTTACGAGTCTTCATTAGGCCTTTTATTAAGGTGCTTCTGGATCTTGCTACACCTGCAGTGTAAGCAATCTTACTGTATGAAATATTTGCTGGAAAATATTAGGAGCACTGACAGGACCTGTGGCTAAGGTTTTTAAAGCTGCCTAAGGGATCTGAGCTAGATATTTATGAGATACACAATCTCACTAAAAGCAAAAATGCCTTCACATTTATTATAGGAAATCACTGACCCATCAAGTCTGCTTTATAATTTGTTTGCAAGAAGGCTGAACTATTTAGATGCCATGATAGGTAAGACATAAACACCAAAAGGGAATCAGCTCTGGATACAACTATTTGATTGCTATTGAATGCTATATTTTATACAGAGAATTCCATCCTGACCTCTGTGGCAATCAGCTTGGGCCCCAAAGAATTTGATTCGACTGTCAGATTTAAAAAAAAAAGTTACAGCATCTATTGATTCTGAAGAAACAACTCATTTTATACGGGAATGGATGGAATGAACAAACAGCCCCCACAGTCCGACAGGATCGCTACCTCTTATTGGAAGGCCAAAAGGTCAAGCATGAGTGCAGTGAATGCAATCTGACAAGCCCCACTCCAAGCCCTATGTCTACTTGTACTCTGGTTACTGTGGTTACAAATATGTTTTTCAATGTGGCCATTCCACCTAGTTGTAAGAAGTTAGTCTGTCCTCTCTGACAGGATCACCAAGAATGCATCATTTCCTTGATGAGCAAAAATGGGACTGATGTGGTGACAGTGGGAGATTCCAGGCTTGGGTCACCAGTTTATCCCCAAGCTGGCAGTAACAGGAAGTGACTCACATTTATTTCATGCATCCCCTTCCACAGGCACTCAGTGCTCAGTACTGGCTCTGGACCATGCTATGTCCTGCCCTGCTTGGCTAGCCCTTTAAAATAAGAGTCCTGAACTTTTGTTGAGGCAGACATGAGACTGTCAGGTTATAGGCCTGGTTCACACAAAGCTGAAACGCTTAGGACAGGGCAGAGGAGAGTCTGGCCCAACTACACGCAACACAGCTCCTTATGCAAAACCTGACTGTTGGGAACTTGCCAATCAAACTGACAGGGAACTGCAGACTTTGCCCCATCCCAGCTGTACATTGGGACTACCTCCCCAACTGGATTTACTAATCAGTGTTTTACGACCTGTCAAGAAACGCAGGAAGTTCATAAGCAATTGCCAATTGTATGCATATTTTAAATTCATTTTGCACAATCTGGACTGAAAATACACTCTAATAGAAATTCACATTTCACCAGTTTGCACTCTCTCCATCACAAGACAGAAATCCCGATCCACATTTATCTCCCACACGAACCCCTTCAGATTAGAAAAGCATAATCAAGCCTAAATCTAATGCACTCATTCTTTGGTGCCCCATTAAAAAGAAAGAAAAAAAAAAGTTTTAACCAAACGGAAACCAAACTCCTACTGCACGGAGGTTTCATTAAAAAATAATGTCGATTGCAAATAGAAAGGCGGAGGGGGGGGGGGGGGGGGGTGGGGGGGGGGGAGTAGGAGCAGCAGCAGAATTTGCAAAGCCATGAATGAAGACGCAGTGGGTTTATTGCAGAGGATTAAAGGTTGAGGAGCCGAGGCGCCCTGCGCTCAAGAGGTTTCACAAGCAGGGCGATGCGCGGAGCGGAGGGGCCGCGCAGTGCAGAAGCCGGGCTCGGCGGCGGTCTCTCCCGCGGGCATGAGCGGAGCAGCGGCCCTGGGCAGCCGCGGAGGCTGAAAGCGGAGCCCGGTGCTGCTCCCCTGCAGCATATCCTCCGGCTCCAGACGCCTCCGGCGCTCTGCGGGGACGGGCTGGAGGGGAGCCCCGCGCCCCCTGGCCGCGCTCACCTGCCCTTCCAGTTGCACAGGTCGCTGGAGTACTGCGCCGCGCCGCCCCGCCACAGCTGCAGCAGCAGCCCCAGCACCAGCGGCAGCCGCCCGGGGGCCGGGGCGCGCAGCATGGTGCTGCCGCTCGGCTCCGCTCCGCTCTGAAGTTCGGCGCGGCGCGGCTCGGCCGGCTCCAGCTGAGGGGCGGGGAGCGCCCGGCCCGGCTCCCCGCCCACCGCCTGCAAAACCTGGCACCGGATCGCTGCCGGGACCCGTGCTCCGAGCCGCCGCTCCGCTCCCGGCTCCCACCCGGTGGGCACAGGCGTGCCCTTGCCTCCTAACCCAGTCTCCTTTAAGCCTGCTGCGTGTGCGTGAGAGAGAGAGAGAGTTACAACACGGTGAGGCTGAAGTCGTGTGGTTATCCCTGCGGGCCCGACTGTGCTGTGTAGCTGCACTTAAATGGGGTCCGCACCAGTGCCGCTGACATCGGCTACTTTCAGGTGTGCATCGCACCTCACCGTTTACACGACACTAGTATGGCACCAGGGCAAAGCTTCTTTCCTCTAGGCAAGACCCTAAGTTGCTGCAGGATCTTGTGGTCTGTGCCCCCTCTCCCACAAGCTCCGATCCAATCTGACTTATAAAAAGTTTCACTTTCTAACGAGCGCAGCACATGCTAGCTGCTGCCCTGTCCTGTTTAACCCCCGGACACCTTCCCCTTTGGCCAGCAGAAGGGGACCTGGTGCATGTCTACTTCAAGTGCACAAGGGAGCAGTCCTTTTTCTGCCTCCTCCAGATCCTCCTGCTGAGGTTCTGGCTGCGCCACTCCCCACACCTTTTATGTCCGCCCCATCCATGGGCCCATGTTAACCGGGCCAAGCTGGCCACTTACAAGACCAGGAAGAAGCGCTAGCTAGCAGGAACCTGAGCAAGCATGGGGCTCTTTTCCTGTCACTCCTCTGCTCCCATCTCTGGGCAGAGTTTCAATGATCAGCATCCACAGGCTCCCTCAACGCATTTGGGCAGCAGTGGGCACTGGCCAACGTGTTCTGCTTGGTGTCCCCTTCCTGTTTTCTCTTTATTTGTCCCCCAGAATTAGGTGGAGTGATCCCAGTGGCCTCCCTCTTTAAGCGAGGCTTATAATATTCCATGATGGGCCTAAGCCCATGCTCTTTTGGCATATCAAATAGACTTTTCTTGCTTAATGTCTGTACCTGCCCTTCTGAGCAACTTTGGATTGGGGGAGGTGAATTGGGGTGATCGCCCCGGGCCCTGTGCTTTGGGGGGCCCCGCGGACAGCACCATTGGCATGTGCGAAGGGCACCACTCTGTGCAGCCACCGCACACCACTGGCTTTGCACTCTGGCCACTCACCACACCCCTTCCCCAGTTCTCCGCTCCAGCCACTCGCCACCCTCCCTCCCCTCACCCCCCGACCCACGCTCCAGCCACTCGCCACCCCTCCCAACCCCCCACTCCTCACTCTGGTAAGTTGCCATCTCCTTTTGTCCCCCACCCACAGGCTGTTATGCCCCAGGCCCCACACACACCTAGGATCGGTCAGCTCTGATTGTAGTAGGACCCAATTAATATTTTGTAAGAAAACAGATAAAGAGCCTAGCAGCAAAGGATAGCAAAACATGAGAACAAACTAACCAGGATTAAAACAAAAGGACAAATAAATGCAAAAGGCTAAAAAAGAATTCCGGGTGTAGTAGCAGTCTTGGGGATGGGGTGCAAAAATATTAATTTGGATGATGTAATATTGGAACAGAGCATTATACCAGTAATACTTCCACAATAGGAAAGGTATTAACATATTCCTAGATCACTAGGCTTCTTGGTCTAATGTTCTTTCAATTATCTGTCACATGGTCTTTCTTAAGGCCTCTGCACCAGTTTTTTTCTAGGTGAGATTGCACAGATAAGCATTACACACATGCAAAATCTTATTCCCTATGTAGTACAAAATAATTTCTATTGCTTTATAAAGCACCCTGTGCAAGCCTCAGGGTGCTGTAAAAGGGAACATTACAGGCACTGACAGAAGTGAGGTTTTGCCATACGATCAGCCTCCTGAAAGTAGTCTGCAGCCATGTCCTGACAGAAGTGCACGGCTGCAGAGCACTTCAAAAGTGCCGGATCAGGTGACAAATTAACCCTCATATAATGAGGATTCAGATGAAGGCACTCCAAAGCGGAGCACCTTCATTAACTTCTGTCTGTCCGTGCACACAAGAAGGGCAGGGCTGATGCAGCTTTGCCCCACTCCCAGTACTGTCTGCAAGATGGAAGGGAGAAAAGGGAGGGGGAGGTTGCTGTGGCTGGGGTTTGCCCAGTCTGCATTGGGTGGGATGGGGGCAGGTGGATTACAGCACCCCCTGCCTGGGGGGACTCCAATCCACCCACCCCCTCTTCAACGCAAGCTGGGCAAACCCCAGAGAGCAGCTCCCTCCCCCACCCTTCTCTCCCTCTCATCCTGCAGACATCAGTGGAGCTGGGGAGGTGGGGGGCTAGGGGAGAGAGGCTGTAGACATGCAACTTCTTCTGAATTGGTTCCAAAGTGAAACTCAATTTCCCCCCCACCCAACAGTATACCTATGGGGGGGTTGCTATAACTTACAGTACTTACTGTAAAGCACCGTGAGTTACAGTGGGGAGTTGAACAGTAGTGTGCTATAGTTTTGAGCTGATCCCCCACACTGCTTATATATGGAAGATTTAATCTGCATTCCCTTCCATTTGTGGTTTTAACTTTTCATGTAGTTTTTGTTTTGTGAATTAGGGGTATTGTTTTGCTGATGATAAAGTAGTAACATAATTACTGTAATTACATCAAATGATGCAATTCATGTAAACATGTAATTAACATGCGGAGACAACACTGGGCAATGTAATGACAACATGCAATAATGCAGAATGCTTTATTCTGCTGGGCATGTGCAGTGGCACAGACTTTAAAGCTCAGTACCTCAATTCTTTCTTTAGAAGTTTTTTGTTGGTCTAGAGGAGATTTGGCTTGCAATACTACTAGAAAAAAACCCCACACAAAACCACCACTGTTGTTTTAGTCTTAAATTTCTGTGTGTGTAACTCCTTACCTGGCCACAATCACTCCAATATCTTGGTGCCTTTGCAATATGTTCATTTTAATCCAATGCACTAGGAAAAAAAAAAAAAAAAAAAAAAATCAGGTAATCATGATGTAAACTGAATTTATAACGTCAGAAAACCTGGAATAAAATATGCTGTTTTGCACTGACCATCAGCTCTGGCTTTCCCCTTTCCTTATGTTAAAACTGCCAGTGGTAATTAGTTCTATATACTCAATTGCATAATAAAAATACTGAGGCTGAAAACTACTTCTAACCTCCATGCCTGTATGGTATTTGGACCATGCTGTAGAGCCATCATTGCTTTCACCAGACCAAATGCTAAATGATGCAGATAAGCATCATGAATGAGAGAAGCAAGGACCCATGACTGCAAAGCCACGCCTAGGTTAAGCCCTCCCCAGTTCATAAGTGACTGGCACCATTAGATATAGAAATTCTGTAGCAAAGTGGAATGTTTGGTGTGCTCATTTGCATATCAATACCCACAATGCTCTTCCGGCTACTCACAGCTATTCCATAGTAGTGCTGTTGGCTCAGATCTGGGAACACGCTCAAAGGGTGAGGCAGCTTTTGGATGCACTTAGCTGTTTTCTGTTTAAGCTGTGAAAAGCAAATATCTTTACAAGAAAGAACATTTTGAACACTATTTTTTTCTGCCTATAATTTCAAAACTGCAATACCGTGTTTAAATTTGCAGGGAAAATTATTTGCAATTAATCATAAAATATAAACTATAAACATAATTGTTCTGCACAGAAGAGCAAGTTTTCAGCAAAAGCCAATTCTGTTCTTGGGACTGATCAACACAACCCTGAAAATGGCACCTAATGAACAAAATGACTGTCCTAAATCTCAGAACTGATGTCTTCTGTCCTGTCTAAACACCACGCAGTTAGACATTTATGTCCACATAAAGCTCAACTGCCTTCCATGGAAGTCTAAATATACAGAGCAGCATGAAGATCTGGGGTTTTAGCTATTCAGTTAGATTAATTTGCTTGAATATTCACAGCCATGTATCCGAAGAGATTAAGAGCATAGGAATGGAAGCTGCAGGAAAGGGGGACTCTGGAGAGATGCTGAGTGATTTGTTCCAGTACTCAAATGTGCAGATTTGGAGAAAACAAAATCTACAGATTAATAGAGGTGGTCTCAAGATTAGGTCTAGATTTCAATTTTCTCCAAAAGATGGTAGTATTTAGATGGCAGGTATTACTGGCAGAAACAAGCTGTCAAATTGGGATCCAAATCAGAAGCTATAAAAAAAGGCAAGTTCAGATCTGGGATTTTGGTTTAAATACTGTTCAAATATAAACACAAAGTTGGCATAAAGAATGTAACACAGTGAGTACATGTAAAGGCCTCACTTGACTATGCTGTTCTTAAGGAATACATAAGGTAACAAGTCCTTGAAAACCTTGCTACTCATTACACAGCCCATGGGCTGCTTGTGCCTTGCCTACTTCAAACCCCTCTAATAATCTATTCAATCTGTTTGGTTTGGGGGAAATAAATCTGACCTCCTGCCTACAGAGGCACCCTTGTACTAACTTGGAAGGCCTATGATCTACTCAGTCCTGTGTTGGTGTGACAGGAAAGGCCTGAAAAGGCAACAGAATAGGAGGCCCATTTTTCCAAGTGAAGGAGGGATAATATTCTCTGGAGGAATACTAAAAAAAGAGACAGGAAAAGAAGAGGAAGCAGCAAATGATTTGAGAAGAAACAACATAAAAGCAAGGTTGACAACAGAGGACAGATACAAAGAAGAAGAGTATTACATAAGTAGGGTAAAGATAGAGCAGGGGCAGACAGGAGGGAGGAGATAATGAAGTAGGGGGAGGGTCCAGAGAGACTAACAAGGAAATGTCCTTGCCTTTGAGGACCTTACTCTCAGCAGTGAAAATTAACTCAGCCAGAATCACACTCCTCTGGTTATTTCTATCCATCCATGTATATAAAAAAAATAGCCTGTCACTGTGGCATCTGGGTATAGTTCTCAATCTCAAATCATCACAGTTCATGGCTTACTTTTACCTTAAACTCAGAGACATTTCACATATTTGCAGCAATTCACAGGCATTTAGGCAGGGGAAAAACAAAAGACCAAGCTTTTCCCAGTACAGAATGTCTCTGCTGAATATTTGAGTTTATCCTGAAATCAAGTAAGAGGGCATCATGATTTCTGGTTCAAGGGAATCAGTTTGGACACTGCAGTTTAACAAGAGTAAGATGGTGTTAAATAACTGTCGAGGCCAAGGGGGAAACTGCTCTGAGTGAAGCTGTCCCGCTCCCCCAGCGCACACAGGCAGCATTCTCAAACAAACAACTGCCCACTGAGCTGGCAGCTCTTACTATGAGCACAATTGAGCTTCCGTCTCTGGATGTTTGAATTAGGATCCCAATCAGCTACCACCAGAGTCAATGGATTTTGCTGTAGGCACAAAAATGACCTCTTTTTTTTCCTATTTGTAAAAATATCTAATTGTGTAATAAACAGAACCTCCCCAGATTAATTCTTTGGATAAATTGCAAGAGGTAACGTACCAAAAAAATGGAGGGGCCAGACCTGTTTTTACTGCATTTCAAACATGCACTTTAAAACAAAATTTGGCTGCTGGATATAGGAGGAAAC